CCCTCGGCCCACGTTGATCAGGGGAGACCCCAGGGCATTATTGTTGTTATTTTTTTTCTCTTTCTTTCCTTTAGCTTGCGGCTCCGTTCAAAGTTCCCTTCCCCGACAAGCCGCAGCAGTGTTTGCCACCGTTGGCCCTAGACCTTCCCCCTTCCAGTTACCCTAGCCGGCTGCGTCTCTTTTGACTGACTAGAGATGAAGTTGTTATGCGTGACGACATCTTGTTCGCTTTCAGAACAATTTTGTTCTCTTTTAAAGTGTTCTTGTCCTCCCCTTCTTGCTACTATAAAAAGTTGTTTGGTTCCCGCCCCCCTCTCCCCCCGAAATTCACTGATTGTTTTCTGGAGTGATCGACTTGCATGGCGTTCCTCGTGGTTTATTCCACTTTAAAGTCACCTTAAGGGTCTCTTCTGGAGCGGGGGAGGGTACGCGCTGGCCACTTTGTCAGCCGACAGGTGCTAATGTGCTAAATAAGCCACCTAAGACTGGTATAAATTACTCTGTAGCTGTTGCCAGGATACATACACTACTTGCATACACAAGATAAAGTTCCTGAGTTTATAGTATCTAGATGATTCACTTCTGAAGGACAGTTGAAGGAAATCAAAGCAAATGGCCCACGTGGCTCCTGTGGGCAAAAAGCATTTTTATGCTGGACGGCATATTACCTGGTGCAAATTTGTGTAGGTTTGCTAAATGGCCTTTAAACAAGCTAGTTGTCACGCCAGGTTTCAGGAGAAGAAACACTGCTGCAGAGAATATTGGTCTAAATTAGAAGAGAAAAATGTATTTTAATATGAGTATTTATGTTGTATTTTGTCTTACCTGGCTTATTTTAGGGAACTATGTTTGAAGAAGATGGTTCTCCTGGGCTTTCCGTAAGATACAGATGAAGTGAAGCTTATGTTGGCTGGCACATGGGTGGTTGTTTTAAGGTGCACGGAGATGTTTATTTTGTTCAACTCAGTAAATATCTTTTCATACCTTTTTCAGGTTCACTGCTATTAGAATCGAAGATAAATCCAAATACTGCATATCAAAAACAGCAGGCAAGTATTACCGCTAGGCTTTATTTTTTTCTGATTATTGATGCTGAGGAATTGTTTTATGCTTGCACTAATTAGTTTTTTCAGAAAAAAAGCAAAGCAACATGACAGGGAAGTTTTGATGGTGTTTTTCATAGAGGTGAAAAACTTGCTTAGAAGCCTGTAGGTGCTTTAGTACTTCACTTTCTGGAAACTAAAATGTGGGTCCCCTAAAGAACCCTTTTGGACTTCAGGCTTTTAAGAGAATATATGCAATCTGGATAAACGTTGAACTCATTACAGGAAAAGCATCTAGAAGCATATACGTTTAACTTCCTGTCTCCATCCCAGGTTGTATGAAATAACTGCTGAATTAGGAAGGCAAAACTTTGGCCTGCTTTGTTACTGTGTATTTACTTCTTGAGTTCTTTTTCTGGAAATAACACAAAGGAATTTGCCTTTCTGGGGCTGCTTTCATTGTTGCTGTTTAGTTTTTGTTTTAAGCCTCGAAAAGTTCTGCTATCCTAAGTAAAGTGACTAGCCGTGGTGAGACTTACTCGCACAATTGTGTTTCCTGGGGATAAGCCTGCTCCAAAACAAAGAAGTAAAACAGTTGGGAGCTATGTTAATAGGCCGTTTTTGTTTCATCCACTAAAAAAATGAGCTTTACAAAGCTCTTTTGCTTTTATTGCTTTTTCCTTTTTCTGCATTAATTTTTGGTCTCTCTGCCTACATTGTTCTAATGGTTGTTACTGTTTTGGTTTTTTTTTTTTCTGTCTGTCCCTTTGTTCTACAGTAGATTCTCTGTTCCTTTTGTTCAGTGTTTTATACTGCTCTTCATCATTGTGGTATTTAGAAGTCTTACAGCACTAAAAAAACGGTAATTTTGTTCTTCCTAAATCATGAAGAGACAAATTTTTAAGAATTTTGTTTGGTTTGATTCCCCCCTGCCAGTGGAAAGGTGACAAGTTACATTACGAGAATTTGAGGAAAGAGACTTTGTTAGCTCTTGAGCACAGGTTGGCTCACTTAAGCTTAGGAGCAAGTCAGAGTCTTGGGCCTGGCTTTTCAGAAGGCTCTGTTTTCTGTGGTTTCCCCTTTTCACTCAGGGTGGCTTTAGTCAGGTGGATGACAGTGGTAGGCTTTCCATGGCAGGCCATGCTGCGGAAGGAGGATGGTCTTTATGGAGCTTTGCAGCGTTCTGAAAGTCAAGAGCCTTGAACTGCTTCCTGTTTAGTAGAGGAAACTAATACATAATGAACTACAAATGCAGATTATGTTACTGTAAAATTTCAAATTGCTTCCTATCGCAGTCTGTTTCTGAAACTTTATACAACTGATTATTTGAAAGCCTTCTTTACTTAATTGGTAGTGAAGTTTCAAGTGACTTAAGTAGCTTATGTTGTCGTTTTTCTTGTGGAAGTCTTTGTAGGTTGTAGTTTTGAAAACCTCAGGCTGAGGTTTATTGTGGTTGGCTTTTATTACCGATTTTAATGCTTTTGTGTCCTTGTGGCTGAAAGCATTTGCTTCACCTGTCCAGTCTTTTGAAGAAGTTTGGTTTGGGGTGGTTTGGTTTTTCTGAAGAGGAATAGTGAGTGGTGATTTCCAGAGACAGGTTCTAGGTTTGTCTAACCTCTGAAATCATACAGCTTTTAGTTGACAGAGCTTTGTCCTCAAGTTTTATGTGCTTCCTTCTGAGTAGCAAAAAGCAGACCTTAATGTAGCATTCCCATGCTTTTCTCAGTTCGTGAGATTTCAGTCTCACCTCTGAAAGATCGTAGTGTTCAAACCTGGGAGTCTCAGGAGCAGATCCTTTTTAAAAATGGTGGGAAGATGTAGGCAAAATATTTTGGTTAACCAGAGGTGGAGAGGTGGTCTTTCCTCAGTGTCCCTACTTGAATGTTGGAGTCCATTACGTCAGTAGCCTGCAGACTCAGAGGCTGTAGTGATCTCTCTTCCACTGGCCAGAGTGCAATTGCAGAGTTTCACTAAGGTCATCTTGGGCTTGGGGAAGGCTGCAAGATGATGCATCTTGATGGAAACGAAACGTGCCCTGCCTACACATCTGTCTTCATGTAAATTACTTGAATGGACTTACAGGATAGTTACTTCTAAAATTGTGATTTGCATAACAACATTCTGTGAAAAAAGAAAACCAACTGATTTTTACTTGCTGTGCATCAATCTGTGATTCCCAATATTACGCTGCTTGTGCTAAGTAGTACTATAATTATTGACTAACTGTAAACAGGGCAGGCCTGTTATCTGCCTTCTCGAATCATGTTTGTGGGCGCTAGCTTTCACGCAGAATTCAATTCTGTCAATGCGTTAGGCATAGTATAAACATGACCTTTTCCTCAAGAAAAACAGGACTTGGATTGGACATGAGTGGCAGGCTGCTCAGCATGCATCATAAAAGAATCTTTAATTGCATTTATACAAAGAACGTGAGAGCCTGAAGAGCTTTAGATCCCTCCCTGAATCTTGGGGCATAGGCTTTGAGAGTAGCATACCTCCACTAGACACCCCATATTGTCAAAGGGCAGGGTCAGATGCGTTCTGGAGGCTCTAGCAGGAGCAGTTTAAGAAGTTGTTACCACACCCATTTGTTGTTCCACCCTCTGCTTGAGGTCACTGTTCCCTGGCAAAACTGGCAGAAGAGCGTGTCTTCAGCGAGAAATCAGATGGATCCGTTCGTGAGCGTTGTTCCTCCACCTCCTCCAATGGTGATTTTCAGTTGCAGAGCTGTGAACACTGCGTTCTGATGTTAACTCTCCTTTAGGTGCATTCTACCATTTTCAGGTCCGGGCTGAAGCATGTGTGCGAATTTGCACAGAGTTGCCATCACTCCTTGTGACAACAGGCAAAATCAGAGTTACTCGAGGATTTAACACATTTACAGGGGTGCTGTTAAAGCCAGCCTGACCAGTTGCCAAAGGGCTTTTTCACTCCTCTTTCCTACTAGCATGAGTATTCATGTTCCTGTGTGACAGCTTAGATGTAGGAACCGATTCAGTTGTAATACCTCTTTTTGCTGGATTAATTTTTATTGACATGTGTTCCCCCGTCTGGTTCACTGTACAGCATGCTTGTGCTGGAGTAAGAGGGGAACAAGGGGCCAGTGCAGGAACAAGGAGAGGTGGAGTAGAAGACATTGTACAAACCAGTACTGGCACTGAAGAGGGTTTTGAACTACTCTCTTAGTTTAAATTGTTGTTCTGAATTAATCTCTTCTGTTTGTCTCATATTGTGTTTGAGTGAATTAAGGAACGTGGCTGTTGCTCGTTGACTGAGCAGCATGGCTGATGCCAATCTGAGCGCATGGGAGTGGTCGTCTCTCGCAGCAGCCAGGCCTGGAAGATGCCTGTCTGTGGTCTTCGTGGGTTGTCTTAGGTCATGCAGGAAGTGTACGCCAGATGAGCAGGTTTTGTATTGGTATTGGACAATTGCTTTCTGATGGAACTACCTTTTTGTCTTTCAGAAATATTTTTGGAGAAACTTATATAACGTCTGCTTTGTGTGGGCAGTACAGACGGTGATGAGAACCACTCAGTAACTCGAGAATTCTCACAAAATTTTTGAGTGCAATCTCTGTGGATGCACGCAGTCATTTGAGTTACTGCACTATATCTCTTACTTGACTCATTCTGGGCTATGAAGAGGACTTCTTCATGTACGTGTCTGTTCACTGAGGCACCTCTGACTCTCAGCTCACCTGGAAGTGTATTGATTTTGAGTGTCAGGGCATCAGTAATTTCACAGAACATTTCAAGATAAACGTTTCAGATTTTGAGTTCTGTAACAGCCGTAAAATTGTACATAAGAATTATTTTTTTTTTTTTTTTATTAACCTCTAAAGGGGAATCAGATCAGGCAGCTGATCAGACTTTTCAGTTCCCGCAGTTGACAATTAGTATTTTTTCATTGAAGCTCAGTTCAACTGCTTACTCTAAAATGGCACACTGTAAACAGAGATTCAGCTGTCCATGAGCTGGAGATGAGGGTGGACAGCTGTAAGCAAAAAGCGTGTCAGCTATATGAAGCTGTACCGTTTGCACACGTGAATCAGAGCCCGAAAGCAGGCAGACGACCTATTAATATTTGTTGCTGTAGGACAAAAGTGCAAGTGTAATATAGGGTAGTATAGGCAGTATAAACAAACAATGCTCATGAACAGCATTAAAACCATATTGCAATGAGCTCGGTTCTTTCTAGAACGGGGTAGCTTTGTTTGTGGCCTGTGATTATGTTTTGGGAGAAGGAAGCTTGTCTCTTGGTAGGCATTTGTTGACAGTGTTGCTGTAAGAAAAAGATGTTACGCTAAACTTCGCCTTTTTTTTTTTTTTCTTAAAACCCTCAAGCCACCAACTAGATACGGATATTGAGAGTTTAAGATTACTGTAGAAATGAACTGAAGAATTAGTGCTGTATCAGCGATGCTGGTTTTCATTCACGTTCCAGAGTGGTAACTGTAGCAGTAAGATTACTGTAGAAATGAACTGAAGAATTAGTGCTGTATCAGCGATGCTGGTTTTCATTCACGTTCCAGAGTGATAACTATAGCACCTAGTAAGTTGTGTTTGTTGAGACAGGCGCGTGTTTTTCAGAGAGGGGTGCTGATGGAAGAGTTTACTTATTGTCCCATGCCAGCTGCTTGTCAGTATTCCCGACCCAAACATTAGTCCCCTCACATCTGCCAGTGGAAATACTTGAGTGCTCCCTGAACTCTTTAAGCCCAGATAATTTCGTTAGCAAAGGTCTGTTTAAGCCGTCTAAACTAACCTGATTTTGGTGAAAAAGGATTAAGGAATGGTGATTCAGACAGTAGGTTCAAGAGTGGCGATGATCATTTGGTATTAATTATGTTTTTGTCCCTCTGTCTTTGGCGCATACTTGAAGGATAGTGACCAAATGGCTGTTGTATGATACCATGTCATGGATTGGCCTTTTAACATAGTGAACACCTTATAGATAATGATCGATCAGTTCATCGTTTCCTGTCATTTGGTGCACAAAGGGAACCAAGAAGTACTTTTGGAGTAAAGTTGTGAAGGAGCAATGACGGAGTCTGTTTCTTGTTGGCCCAGAAGTTTTCTCAAGTATATCGGGTATCTGGAAGCCCGTCAGATATTTGCGTGTGTTTGGTTGCTAAGCCTTAAAGTATCACTTTGAATATTTTGTTTACAATAGGAGTGATGCATAAGGCAAAGACTTCAAAGCCTTGATAAGTTGTGTGGTGAATATTGACCTTTGTAAATGTGAGAAGTAAATTACCTTATTGACCACTAAGCAAGGGCTTGCTGGTGTTTAAAAAAAAAAAAAAAAGTGTGGTAATGGTTCAGGAGGTCAACAAACGTGGCAGAATGTTGAACCGTTTTGCTGGAGCTCATCAAATGTACTGCAAAGTTAGCAGAGAGCTGTTCAGTTTGAACATTTTAACACGGAGGTGAGTTTCCTGTAGGATGCTGAACTACATATTTGAATGTTGAAGCATAGGCTTACATTCCTTACAGTACTGTGCAAATATCCTAATAAAATCTCATCAGAAAAACCTTTTCAGTCTATTCAGAAATTCCAGTGGATCATCCAGATTCACTGTGCAAGTGCGCAGATTGAATTGGTAGAGGCAGTTGTAATGGAGGAAAAAAAAAAATTCGCTCAAATGAAAATACCTGTTGGCAAGATGTTTATAACGTACAAGTTGTATATTATTTAGGCTTTATGTCTTTTAATTTGGAAGAAAATACTTCAAGTGTTTAGGTTTGCTAGTGAGGCATTATTTTGCACGTTGCTATGGTTGTATTAAACTCTGAGGAGGAAACACTGTAATTTTGTATTACTGTTTTTACTTTCTTAAATTTGAAAAGGCTTGTTACATTGCAGATTTTCTTCATCTACAATGTGTGCATTCCCTTTTCAAGACTTGGCTCAGAAGTATGTTGTAAGAGAAATGCCATTATAAGTGTTTTGGATATGAAAAAAAAGTATATGTAAATGTACAATATGTAGGGTAGTGGTCATTAAATAGTGAAAAAGAAGGATTATGTCCCTTATGGCAAACAGGTAATTTAATATTTTAGTGGCTTATGTTCTTTTTTGACAATTTGTCCTGGTTTCAGCTGGATAGAGTTAATTTTCTTCCTAATAGCTGGTATAGTGCTGTGTTTTAGATTTAGTATGAGAGTAATGATGATAACACACTGATGTTTTTAGTTGTTGCTAAGTAGTTGTAGTGCTTAGACCAAGCCAAGGACTTTTTGGCTTCCCATGCACTCCCAGTGGGGAGGTGCACAGGGTATTCCCTACCTCAGTGTATAAACAGGAGTTGGCCTTGGGGCGGGAATTGCTGCTCGGGGACGGGCTATTGATCACCGGGCGGTGAGCAATTGCTGCATTGTGCATCACTTGACTCTGTATATTCACTTATCAGTAATATTATTATCATTATTATTTCCTCTTCCTTTGCTGTCCTATTAGACTGTTTTTATCTCAACCCATGAGCTTTCTTTTCCCCTGGTTCTCTCCCCCATCCCACCTGTGGGTCTAAACGATGACACAAGTGTAACATTAATTGTAATTATTTCTTCTTTAGTCATATGACTTAACGGCATACACATTACTATGCAATATAGACCTGTTTCAGAACCTTTTTTTTTTTCTTTCTTTTGTCTTAAACAGGACACCCTGATTGTTTGGTCGGAAGCAGAAAACTATGATTTAGCACTGAGTTTTCAAGAAAAAGCTGGCTGTGATGAAATTTGGGAAAAAATCTGCCAGGTACAGTTAACTTTAAATATTCTGTTTCTTCCAGATGTTTTAGTGTCTTCTGCAACTTCATGTATTTGTTCTGTGATTTTTAAACCTGCTTGTAAATTAAGCATATATTCGTCATTATTTTCTGTGGCTTTTCTTTGCAAATTGCCGCTATTCAGAACACCGTTTGTTGCTTTCATAATTGAATTTCATGCTTTTGAAAAAATCAATGCAATGAAACTCAGGTTCTAGGCATTTTAGAGGTTTTTGTTTGTTTTTATTAAAAAGGGGGGTGCCAGAGTACCACGTTTTAATCGTCCTTCTCTCAGGCGGCCGTAGGAAGCTGGCTTGTTGGAGTGTGGTGGAACTGAAAATGTGCTGTAACGTGTAGGGAGCTAGAGACGTCACTGTGAGAGACAAAGAGGTGGCGTCGCTGTATGAGCTCAAAAATGTCAGTGATGTTTCTTTCATCAAGACCCAAGTCTTATTGACTATTTGTGTCTTGTGGATATTTTGATCTTCATTGTTTTGTCACGAAACAGTTCAAAATTTACACTTTCGTCTCTGGAAGTAACAAGTCAATGGAGTTGTGCTTATGTGTACTTAAAAGAAGAAATCTGGATTTTCATGTTGGAATTTATCATTACCTTAAGAGATACCTTTAGATGCATTCTTAATCTTAGCATGTTTGGGGGTATAGTGTCTTGTCAGCCAGTTCTGAAATACTGTTGTTGAAAGGAACCGATCCTGCTAACCACAAGGGTATGCACCTAATAAATAGTCCAGGTTTTAAATGTGGTTTTAAGTTGGGGCTGAGCTGATGACCCGTCAGAGGGAGGTCTCCATGTGATCAGACAACGTAAACCATTAGCCTTCGGCTCTTTCATCGGACTCCAAAACTCTTCCTGCTTCGTCCTTTGAGGCTCCTGTGTAACATGTGATCCTTTGAGGGAGTTAACAAGAGGAGTTTATGAATTCTGGACTGGATCAGTGGGGGCAACAAAAAGTATAGGATGTATGAGAAGACTGGGGAGAGGAGTTATAGGGGCACACAAAGCGGAAGGAAAGCGCAGAGTGGGACACAGTTGCTTCCCTCTTTTCTTGTTGAATTTTGGTATTTGTGACGTTTTCCTGCCTTTGTTCTTGGTCTTTTTGTTACGTTCCACTACATGTTGGTATAGCTGTGGGCTCTTACTACGAGTTTATGGCTTCAAACCCTTCTGTTTGAGACAGTGAAAGAAGGTTTTTTTACGCCCTTCTTTTCTTTTTATGTTTTGTGCTTGTCTCCAAGGTGCTGCAGACTTCTCAGCTGCACATACACTGCTAGGGTTTGGTTAGGTTTGGTGTGATTTCATTTTTTGACAAATGTACTATTGAGGATAATAGTTAGTGAGTGTAGAATTTAGAGGCAGCAAACTTACTCCTCTGCACAGCTAGACATTTTCCAGGCAACTGAAGGTATAAAAGTGCTTAGGCACATGTATTTCGGTCACTGACTTGATGTTTTTTAAGTATGCTTTGGGATGAGATGGTAATTGTGCGCACTCTCTTCTTAGGTTCAAGGTAAGGATCCTTCAGTGGAAGTCACACAGGACCTTATTGAGTCAGAAGAGGAACACATAGAAGAAATGCCTGAAACTAGTCCTTTGATCGACCTTCCTACTTGTGAACTCAACAAACTTGAAGAGATTGCTGACCTAGTTACCTCTGTTCTCTCCTCACCCATCCGTAGAGAAAAGCTAGCGCTGGCCTTGGAGAATGAAGGCTATATTAAAAAACTATTACAGCTTTTCCAAGTCTGCGAGAACTTAGAGAACACTGAAGGCTTACATCATTTGTATGAAATTATTAGAGGAATTTTGTTCCTCAACAAAGCAACTCTGTTTGAGGTGATGTTTTCTGATGAGTGTATTATGGATGTTGTTGGATGCCTTGAGTATGATCCTTCTTTGGCTCAGCCAAAACGGCACAGGGAGTTCTTGACCAAAACAGCAAAGTTTAAGGAGGTTATTCCTATAACAGACTCTGAACTCAGGCAAAAAATCCACCAGACTTACAGGGTACAGTATATTCAGGACATCATCTTGCCGACACCATCTGTTTTTGAAGAGAATTTTCTTTCTACCCTCACTTCCTTTATTTTCTTCAACAAAGTTGAGATTGTCAGTATGTTGCAGGTAAGTGGTTTTTAATGTGGTATAGATGGATTATGTATAGATACCTCTCGCTGTAGTTTCAAAATTGATTACAGCTCTTTAACACTGTGTAAGTTAATCACGCACACTTTCATTTGTGTAATGTTTTGATTGCTTCCCTTTGTTTCCAATACCTTTTATTTTTTTAAATGGTAGATTTCAGGTGCGTATATTAGTATTTTTTAATGGGTTGTGAACACTTAAAGGTTCTTCTCCTTGATTCACAAGCAACATAGGCATTTTGACCTCATTTTGTATAGCTTTTTAGGGAACCAGCAACTTCTTGTATTGTATATCAGGCACATTTGTGACATCTTTATAACAAATTCTGAATCTGTGATTCAAACTGCTATTATCTTATGGTACTAATTTCAAATGTTCATATTGTAGTATAAAGTAAGTAATTAACTGTGGTGTTTTTTCCTTCATACTGATATCCAAAAGTAATAATTGATAAATAACTACCATGTAACAGTTGATAACCAACATGATACAGTAACCTATACCAAAAAACTTTCTGCATACTTTGTAGTCAGAAGCAGGCTTAAAAGTAGTTGGGTGTGACAACCAATCTGGAGTGTGGGAGGAGCCTTGGGAAAGAGCTGTGTGGGAACTTCATGACATTTCGGGTATTTTCAGTTCATATTTTGTTGTGCAAACTAATGGGTACCAAAGTGGTTTTATTCTGTTTCTGATCCATGCCCTTAGAAAAATGGTATGTTTGCATAGAACAGATCATGACAAACCTGTCGGTTTTGAGTGTGGATAGTCGCTGTGAAAAAGGAAGATGTATCGAGGAGAAGAGGGGGGTAATGAAAATTGTGGAAAGAGGCAGGCACTGGAAAAGTAACATTTCAATGAGGAATATTTCTAATGAATGCAGTAGAGGACTGAGGGGAAAAAACCCAAAAGCTGAAGAACTGCAGAGAATTACATGAATAAGCCTTTGGGCTTCTTTCTACTTTCTCCTTTCTGGATGAATAGCAGAAAGGAACTGAGAAGTAAATCCCACTTGCAAAACTAATGACTTTATCTTAAAGAATTCCCTTTTTATTATTTTGCATATATTACTTTTCTAAAACCAAAAATAAATTGAATATTACCCTCCTGAGGCCACAGTCCTGTTTCCACATACAGATTTTTAAACTCTGAAGTTCTTCGCTTTTCATGTAGGCTTTACTGTACTGAATATTTAAATGTGCCTTAACAGAAAACTATGATTTCCTATTACCTCTAATACTGTTTCTTCAGAAGAAAGTTCTGAAATCCTCTGACAGTTTTTTGCTACTCTGTCACTGCTGTCTTTGCCATAGCAGAGAGAGTATATGGCACGTAGGTTTGCCTGTCTGTTTTAAAGACTGTAATTGAGACACGCGTGATGATTTACAAATAATCTTGATACTTGCATCATTTGAGCTGCCTTGAGAATTACAAACTAAGACGAAAGCACACGTGGAAGAGATGTTAGTGATAGGACACTTGAGGAGAATTGCATGGCGGTACGGACCTCAGGTTCAGGACCATTTTTGCAGTCCCCTGGCATAAATCAGCTTTTTGTTGTGGCACAAGAACTCTAAAGCTCCTTTGGGTTGGGTGAACACGTTCAAAGTCTTGTTACCCTAAATACACCGGCAAAGCTCCCTAGGAGAATGCAGTTTATAGGAGTAACAGATTGTGTTTGCTGCGGCAGTAAAGCTCCTTTCTACGTGCCGCAAAGCAGTAGATCCCAGTGCTGCTGTAGGTGAAGGGCAGCCATGTGGGAACCTGAGCGAGCTTGGAAAACAAACTGAGATCCATCCTGTGCTTTAGGACATCAGGACTGCACTGTGCTGCAGCCTTACGCAAGCACGAGAGCTTTCTGTTGCCAGGTGTTCCATAGTGGGGATTTTCTAGCCTACTTCTTGTTGTTTGTAGTAGGGGGTTTGTGTTTTTGGTTTTTTTAACAGGCTTAATTAAGCTGCTACAGCCATCAAAGCTTAGAATAAACTACTAAGTCCATGTATGTTGCACTCTCTCTGATGTTGATTCCAGGTATTGTTTGTTTGTAAAGCACTTCTTTCCCCGTGTCTTAAAATTTTCAGGAAAAAAATGATGTGAGCCTTTGGCTGGCATTCCTATAACAACTCTGTATTATGTTAGCCTAATAAAGCACACAGATTTTAGTGGCAGCGCACAGAAAAATAGAGAAGCAAGCACCGTCCTCATTATGCAATGTACTGTTTATATATATTTACTGGAATGCTGCTATCCTGTTCAATGCATAAGTAAAGTTTATAAGTTGAGTCAGTACAGCGATACATAGTTTTGTAATGCTGTAGCATAATGTTACCGTTTGCTTTAAGATTGATATTGCATTTGAAAGGTAACAGAGACACCTGATTTGAGAGAATGCCAGCACCATTTTCCACGTGAAGCAGTGCAGAGAAATCATGTACAGAGAGGACAGGAAGTGCCCAAACAGTTGAGAGCTGATGATGTTCAACCTGGTCTTCTTGTACCCCTTGAGTTTTAAGCAATGGTGTAACTGAGATGCTTAACAAGAAGTGAAATGTTGTCCTATATACACTTAAAAATAAGTATCTTTTGGTAGTGGAGGATCTGTATATGAAAAGCAAATAATACTCAAAAAAGCTTTCCAGATTGGAAAAGCTGAACTTCCTGCAAGCAGGGGAGCTTATTTTGAGAACAAGGTTGATGGGGACATGGCTGTGGCAAACTCATAATGTGTTAATCTAGCCGCCCTTGCATAGGTAGACTGAAAAAATGTTTGTGATGCTGCAGATCCAAAACAGGGTAACCGATAGACCTGTGATGTTAACGGTGTAGTGCGAACGGCATAGATGCAGCATGGTAAAAATTGTATCTTGATTGGCAGTTTCTAGTCTAGAAGTGTATAGGTTGCCTCCCGGGAAGGCTACACGCGAGGTGCGGGGAGGGAGCCCAGAACAAAGACTGTCGTTTTCTGTAATTTTGATGCATCATAGTGGGGTGTGGAAAACCATACAGTGAATACGTGGGGCAGGGCAAAGCTGTAAACCACAGGGGGTGGCATGACAGAGAAGGAAAGGGAATGACACGCTTTAGTAATGATCACCTGTGCTCAGTGTAACGTGCGGTTCTGGTCTCCTGGACCTGCTTCTGCTGTGCAGAATGAGTACTGAAACAATAGATTGGAAGTGGGCCTCCCAAATGTGTACTCTTGCATTTCTCTGTTTTGTGATAAAATGTAGGTGTGGAGAAAAAAGAAAAAAACCAACCTTATCTACCAAATCTACTAATGCATGGGGTTTTTGTTCGTAATTAAGCGTCGTGGTTAAGCTTAAATTCAGTTTGACTTTCTACAGTGTGGGATCCAATAAAGATCGATGTTTCAACTTCCAAGAGGCATAGTGTAAGTCATATTCTTCTTATGTGTTACACAGGAAGATGAGAAATTTTTGTCTGAAGTTTTTGCACAATTAACAGATGAAGCTACGGATGATGACAAACGATGTGAATTGGTAAGTCAGTGGTCTTGGTAGTTCTTTGAATGCTTCATGCTAGAGATGAAGTAGAAGTGCTGAAACCGTTCTGCTGGTTCTGCAGTCATTGAGGTATTTCTAATGTAGCTCAATCTTCATTTATGAACTCACTCAAAAAATATTTCTTGTGAGGTAAGCTCTGATTTATTTTTTCTAAATAATTATTTTATTGTTGAGAAAATACTAGCACTAAGCTGACATCCTAGATTTAAAGGTATACTTTCTTCCAAGTACTCTTCAACATACCATATCACGTACTTCTGTCATATAAACGCTGCTTTTTTCACTGTACTTTACTCGTTCAAAAAGATCTTTTAAGTCCTATGACTGAGGATTACTGGTAGTCTCTTAATATATATATTACAAACATCATTTATCCTTGAATATGCTTATCTGCTTAAATTGCCTCATTAAAATCTTGCTTTCAGCAAGGGAAGCGTCTTTGTCCTTTCAAACAAAAGGCACTCCACACAGGAGTGTAAACCCTTCCTATGCTAGATGTGATAAAATAGCTACAAGGTGACTGTGTCTCTTTCTGAGGTAAATTTCAACCTCTTAAATGTGTTTGGTTTTACTTTCTTTTGCTTTCCTTTGTTGTTGAAGGTTGGAGGAGAAAGGACTAGAATAATACCATTTGCTAGGGAGGCACATAGCAGCCAGTACACAAATTCTGATAAAAAGTGTAACAGTTTCCTACTTTCAGAGTGTTTTCTGAATCAAATACACCTTAAATTATTTTTTTCTGTATGATAGGTTAACTTTTTCAAAGAATTCTGCGCATTTTCTCAGACGTTACAACCTCAGAACAGAGATGCATTTTTCAAAACATTGGCAAAGTTGGGAATTCTTCCGGCTCTTGAAATTGTAATGGTAAGTGAAAACTTCAAGCTGCTTTTAATAAAACTAAAAAAAACCCCACAGCTATTTAACCAGTTTTTCAGATCTGCTAGGGACCTTTGTGTAAGTTTGATTGGACGGCTTTGCGCTGCTGAAAGTTGAAGTTTATCGTAACGTTCAGAATCTACAAGATGTCTACAGTTTTCAGAAGTAGCCTAACTTTATTGCTGTTACTGGTTTTACTTTGCGTGATGGAGAAGTCTGTGGTAAATGCAGTCCTTCTGACAACGTAGTGTAAAAATTGAAAGATAACTCTCTTTTTCATATGGCAGCTTGATTTTTTTCTTTTCCCCCTGCTGTTGTTGGAACAGTGCCAAAGGAGTATTTTTAGATAATCTTGAACTGTTAGCTTGTTGCTATCCGAAAGATCACGTAAAGCTGTCTTTTCAGAGATATAAAGCAGATAGATTTATCTTAATCAGCAATATGAAAACATAATTTTTTTTCACTCCTTTGGTTGAAGAAGCTATTGCTGCCTGACTGTTGCAATTCATACACCAGTGCTGCTGTTACTCGGAAACTATAAACTCAAGGTGTCTTGTATTCTAGAGTAACCACCTGTGAACTCAGCAAAGGACGCTGGCTGTTAGGAAAACGTAAAAGTCTTGTAGCTGTTCAGTGATTAGATGAACTCCAGTCTTCTTATTCTTTCCCAGGGCTAGACCGGTTTAAATGTTTCCTGTTATATTAATATTTTAGGCTTAGAAATTGTACAGTTATATTTGAGGCTTAGAAATTGTACAGTTATCAGAGAAAATAACATACCTTAAGGAAAAATTACTAATTCTTGTCGCATATAAATGCGTACAGAAACTTTTGTACAAATTGATTTGTACAGTTGGTTCTTTTGTATGAAAGTAATAAACTGTGGAAAACAGGGACAGAATATTAGCATCTTGGATGTTATAGCAAGTAGCATGATATAATCATTTCCTGGTTAAATTAGGGCTATCGGATTCCCAGAAAGCCACGCATTCTTCTTAAAGGAGGGAAATAGTGGAGAAAAGATTTTGCAGGTTTATTTTTTTTTTCCCTGTAACTGTATTACTGTGTCTGACATAGAAACTTTTGTAATAAAATGCTCTCAAAACTTCTAACTCCCTTTAAAAAGCTTTGCAGCTTTACTGGATAATAAATACCAAACTTGATTTACTCTAATAAATTGTTCTCTCTCTCATTAGGGAATGGATGATCTGCAAGTTAGATCTGCTGCTACAGATATATTTTCTTATCTAGTAGAGTTTAGTCCATCCATGGTCCGAGAATTTGTAATGCAGGAGGCCCAGCAGAGTGACGATGTAAGTAAAAGTGTCTTGGAGTTTGAATATACTAGGTCTAGAGCAAACAGGGAAAAACAAACAAACAAACCAGGAAAACAAACCTCTCCAGCATTTGGGATACAGTTAGCTCAAAAATGTAGATACTAGAAATATAGGAAAAAGTAGATTTAAGATAGAAACATTTGTGAGCATGTTGGTGTTCCATGCGTTTACAGTAATAAGGTTGTAGGTCTGCCTAACAGTGGTTTTAGGTGAGCAGGTGTGTGCTTGATAGAACTCCAGTGTCTAAATGCAGCTCTCAATTTTTCTGTCTCAATTAAATTAAAACAAAACAAAAAAAAAGAAGTGATTCCACTATTGAAACGGTGTCTAATTATTTTTTTGTTGGTTTGTTCGGGTTTTTTACAGGATATCCTCCTCATCAATGTGGTCATTGAGCAGATGATCTGCGATACTGATCCTGAACTTGGGGGAGCTGTTCAGTTAATGGGGCTCTTGCGTACTCTGATAGATCCAGAGAATATGTTGGCCACAGCTAATGTAAGAAAATACAAAGGGGTAAAGACACTTTACTGTCTTGGCAAAAACTAAAAGCCTGATATTTATTGCTGTTCGTGTGGTGGAGGATAAAAAAAAGGAGATTTTTATTCTTTTTTGATAGTGTTGTGTATGGTCTGGTCCTGAATCTAAACAAGCTAAAAAATAAGCTAAAATTTCCATTAATTTTTGATAAAAGGTATCTGTCTGTAGTATTGTGTGAGCATTTAATAAGCTAAGCAGTCCTGTGCTTTGGTGAAGTAGCATATTTGCATCCACGGTGGGTTTTTTTTGGTGATGGCGACGTTGGTTTGATGGTTTTTGGGTCTTTTCCCGAAATAAAGAAATATCTTTTATTTGAGTAAAGATAATGTTGCAGGACCAACCAGAAAGATACAGGGAGACCTGAGGGAGTCGATAGAATTATTTGTGGGCTGTCTTTTACATTGCTACTCTTCCTTACTTAAAAGGAAGCCTACAAATACAAGTATTTAATACAGTTATATTTCTTTTAGAAAACAGAAAAAAGTGAATTTCTTAATTTCTTCTACAACCATTGTATGCACGTTCTTACTGCACCGCTTCTGGCTAATACATCAGAAGATAAATGTGAAAAAGGTAATGTTATTTTTTTTTTTCCCTCTCTCTCCTGTCCCTACCCTTGTTTTAACTCTTGCGAAGTTTTCAAGTGACTTGCAGTCCTGGTAATGGGGATAAGCCTGTGGTGTAAGCTGGGAACATGCTGCTGAAAACTCTTGTGCCCCCAGTTGACAGGGGTTCTGTGGGCAGAAGTTTTAATAGCCCTTCATTGCAGGTTTGAATGATAACATACCTTTATGCTGTGCTTTGTAAAATATGTATCTCCTTGATGGGTATTGTTAATTGTATACTAGTTTTACTTTGAGGAATATCTGCTGTAAAGCAGAGAGTGTCTTTAGTTCACAAGTGCTTTTAGAAAATAAGTTTACAAAAATGTGGAGACACTCATCACTGATTACATGATTCCAGGCATCGGGTGTGCTCAGATGGTTAACTCCAAAGAGTAGTTTTCACTTGGCTGTAGAATAGAAATGCTGAAAGAAGTCTCTTCAAAGAAATACAACTTGGAACTTCTTTGTCTTGTTCCTTTTTTAATTTGTCTTGGTGACAGTAAAAGAATTGGCAACTTCTGTTTGGCACACACAAGTAACGCTCACTAGTTTGCCTCTAGGGCCTCACAAACAGAAATGTAACCTCATTGCAGCCTCTTGTCAGACTTTTTTCTGAGTACTTCTTCAAGAGATTAGCAAATACACATTAGTTTGATTTAAAAACATTTCTTTCATCATACCGATCTTCTCATCTGGCATGCATTCTTCTTGTATATTTATTTCCCTATACCTTATAGAAACTTTTGTTTTTATGGAAAGTTTGAACAGCTGGTGGAATTGATTGTTTAACCCCATCTTTTAAATAGACACAGTGCTTTGAAAACCTTTTTCTGACTTTAATTTTATTTTCTATTTATCAGATGCAGTAGTTGGGTCCACTAAGAGTAATACAATTTGTCCTGGTAAGTTTTAATTGACCTCAGGTATCGAAACTTGTCTTCTATGCTGTGTATGGTGGTTTTGGGGTTTTTTTCCTTTAAGTTACATATGTCCATAATTTATTTTTTTAAATCATTTTTATTGAAATAGATGTAGGTGCTTTGCTTCATTTGAAACGACAGGAAGCTGAAGGAACATTTTCATCTGCTTTTGAGTTACTGGGTTTCACTTTCCCCCCCCCCTCAGTCAACCTTGCTACTGAAAGCTTACATCATTGTTAACAGAACATGTACCCAAGAGACGCAGCCGAGCTTTTACAGTTTGGATTTTTATCTGTGCAGGATTCTTTTTTGAGCATTATGAAAAGGCATTGCTAATTAGGTTCACATGAATACAGGTCTGACTGGCTTTAACTACATACCGTTAGTCTGGATTGCCGTGACCAGTAACTCACTCATCCTAGAAGAAGTCCCACTGCCAATTCAGGGCGATTTTTGTGACTGGAAAAAAAAAAAGCCTGATTTGTGTGTGGTGTTTTGTTCTGACCCAATGTCCCGCTTCCTAAAGCAATCCAGCGTGCCACTAAAAACACATCAGGAACTGTAATAGCAGCTGAGCTTGCTGATGATTTGGTCCATGACAGTACTTAAGGTATTAATTTCTCTTTGTAGATAATTATCAAACGGCACAACTACTTGCCTTAATTTTGGAGCTGCTTACTTTTTGTGTGGAACACCACACGTATCACATCAAGAATTACATTATGAACAAAGATTTGCTAAGAAGAGTTCTGGTCTTGATGAATTCAAAGCACACATTTCTGGCCTTGTGTGAGTATGGAGCTGTTGTGATTTCCTTTGAGGCTTTGTACGTACCATGTGGAACGTGTACGACTACAAGAGTGTACTTAAATTGAAAATTCATGTTAATTTATTACTGACTAGATGTTTAGTAATTTTGAAAAAAGGTAGCCGATGTCTGTTCATATAGACCACTGCAGTTTGTGGTGGGAGGAGAATGGTATTTTTGAAGTCCACAATGATCCTTTCAGGTCTTTATGACAGTAAGGACCATTTGTGACCAGCTGCCTTCTCTCATTTAGATGGAAACACTGCCATTTCTTAACGTCATAAATCTAGTGCTCCTTGTGGAGAGTGAATGAAATTTTGTGATCTGTGGTATTTAAAGAATAGGGGCTGGTTCTGGGAGGTGAACACAGAAAAAGCACAGGAATGAGCTAATAATTTAACTTCACATGTACTGAAGTTTATTGCAGCTGTATTTCAAAAAGAAATTAACGGACCCTGATCACATTCAAATACCCAGGGAAGTCAGAGAATGAAAGAAGGGTTACCTGTCAGCAAATGTTTCTTCTAAACTTTCAGAAAGTGCTTTTCAATGCTCTTGGCTTGGGGGTGCATCTTCCTTTCAGTAACATCAGTCGTTTTCAGCTCTTTCCAAGAGAAGCAGATTGCAACCCTGGCATGCAGTTATTAAATTCCTGAATTTCTTTCTTCGTGTAGGTGCTCTTCGCTTTATGAGGAGGATAATTGGCCTAAAAGATGAATTTTATAACCGGTATATCACCAAGGGAAACCTGTTTGAACCAGTTATAAATGCTCTCTTGGATAATGGAACAAGGTACAATCTGCTCAACTCTGCTGTGATTGAACTGTTTGAATTCATCAGAGTGGTAAGTTAAGCAGCTTCTTCAGCTCTTTGCGTGTATGTGGCATCTCAGGTCGAAACATGGCATGCAAATCTTTCCCTTGAAATAGTATATTATTACTTAAAATCACAAACTAAAAATTCCATAGATATGCAAATAGAAAGGAGCCAGTAAGCTGCTTCGTACTTATTTTACTTGATTGTCCCCTCACAGAATATGTGTTGGCCCTATTTACATAAAAGTCTGCATAAAAGTATCCTGGAGATTAAATTCTTCCGTGTGGATGCGTTGTTTCTGGACCAAACTTTGAAGTGAGGCATTAAGTGAAATATGTCACGTGTGAGTAAATCTGGGCATTGCTGGGTCTAAATGAGACTAGTTTGACTATAAATTTGAGCGATCATTGTCCTTTAAAGTCCTACACACACGCTTTCTTAGCCAGTGTCGGCTTTGAATCAGTAGCTTTTCCCCTGGCAGTGTTTGTGGGAACAATGCGCATGTGGGACAAGCAGGAGCACCCGGTTTGTTGTTCTGCTGGGGTAGAAAGCACGGACTCGCAGCAGCTCCTGAGCCACTCGCTGCGAACGCCTTGCTGTGTGGGAGTCTTCTCAGGCAATCTCTGTGGTCCGCAAAAACGAAGGGCAGTTTTTAATCGTAGGATATCACCGCTGCTGTCTTTTCCAGCAAGAAGAAAATGCGTTGTGTCTTCAGGTGCCGGTTGTGGTATGAAAGTTAAGATTTGCCTGATAACGGTGAGACTCGTTAGAGGGTGCCTGACCAAAAGGTGCCTCATGCCACGTGTGCCCGCTGTAGTTACTGAGGTCTAGAAGGAGCTAAAACTGATGGGGAGAGCGGGGCACAGCTAAACTCCTGTTTTTTCTCAAGAGGGCTTAATCCTAGACAGCAAGCATTGTGGTTGAATGAAATTATCACAAATTGAATCGGGACAGTACTGAGTATATTGTCCATTTTTATATGGGAAATTTAATAACTATTTCTAGATTTCAGCTTTTTTATTAAGGAAAAATCTGATTACTTCACATTGTTCTTTACAATAAAGTTTTGACTCTGGACAATGAATCAGTTACTGTTAAAACTAAACTCTAAAGCTTTCTCAACTTCTGCATGTTAATATTTGAGGCTGAAACCCTGTTTTGTTCTTATGCAGGAAGATATTAAGTCCCTTATTGCACATATAGTTGAAAACTTTTACAATGCACTTGAATCTATCGAGTATGTTCAGACATTCAAGGGACTGAAGACGAAATACGAGCAAGAAAAAGACCGACAAAACCAGAAACTGAACAGGTACAACCCAGTTTCTCTGTTCTGAGACTTCTCCTGAATGCCATTATGTAGCATCTTCTTACTGCTGGTTGGTTTTTTCCTTTCCTAGAGGGCAAAAAAAGCAGAAGGCTGGGATTGGGGTTGCCTTTCCTTCTTCATGAAAACTTCCTCAATTAGGGTAGTGCCCCATCTGACTTTCCGTGTGGCCTACTGTAGTACAGTTGATGTTTGTCAGTGTATTAAATGTACATTCCAAAAACTCTAAGCTTGTGAAGAGCAGAATCTTCTTCTGTCGTTCAGAGTTAGGATTCAGTCTGCCTTACTGTCAGCTGGGGTTTTGGCGAGGTTTACATTGCTGGTAGAACCGGGGACGGAGCTGGACTGCCTTCCCAAACACTGGATTCACTCTAAAGCATCAGAAGCCATTTCTCATCCTGGCTGTGTCTGAAACAGCAGGCAAAATTTGAGTCGCTTCTCATGTGTCTCTTACAGTGTTCCATCTATATTGCGTAGCAATAGATTTCGCAGAGATGCAAGAGCCTTAGAGGAGGATGAAGAAATGTGGTTCAATGAAGACGAAGAAGAAGAAGGTGAAGCTGTTGTGCCTCCAGTTGAGAAGTCAAAACAGGAGGATGATTTTCCAGATAGCTATGAAAAATTTATGGAAACTAAAAAAGGTATTTACTCCCATTTCAGCTTGGCAGCACTGGAAGGGCTCTATGGCAGATACGTGGAGCATCATGTAAACAAAACAGTTGCTTGTGTTCTGTATCACAAGCGGGAGTAAGGGAATTCCATGTAGCAGCTAGTGAATTACTCATGTCTTTGCAAGCTATCTTAGGATTAAAATAATGAGTTAAATTGCTCCAAGCGTGCATCTAGTTTAAATGACAGCCAAAAGCAAAGCTTTACATGTACTTGTATGTGCCGAGCGAGCAACATCCCCGGGTCCGCAGCGTCTGTGCCGTTCTCAGTTTGAACGCTGGCATGCTCAGATGAGGTCAGTAGGTGAGCTGGTGGTCAAATGGAATTTAAGAAAAAAAATATGCTGTGGTGTGGATTGTACTCTGTGGTGTGCGGCTGATACTTAAGTATGAAAATGTTTGTCCCTCAGCTAAGGAGAGTGAAGACAAAGAGAATCTTCCAAAAAGGACTTCAGCTGGGGGATTCAAATTCACTTTTTCCCACTCAGCCAGCGCAGCCAATGGTGCAAATGGTGCAAACAGTAAATCCGTGGCAGCTCAGACGTCACCAGCAAGCTCCAACGGCTCCTCTTCAAAGAACACAACCCTGACCACAGCAGTGACAGCCACGAAGGTGGGAGAACTTGTACAAAAGCTGCTGTCCTCGCTTCGGACAGCATCATAAGACTTTAGCGGTTGCAATGTGGTAAGGTTAGCATTAGTCTCTAGGCTGGGTATCTTATTTACGTATATATTCATTCACAGCCCTGTCTAGTTAAACCCTTACTAGTTTTGGGGAAGGTTTAAGGAGGTATTGGGTGGGACTGGAGTCTGTTGGTGATCTGGTGGGCACAGTTTAATCTTGCATCTTCTGCCTAATTTAACCGCTCCCACTCCTCTACTTTTACTGTCCAGTTGCTGCTGCTATGTGTGGGATATACATAAGAGATTGGGGTGCTTTTCTGAATTATGTTAGTGGCCTCCCCCAGTCAGGGAATTAAGAAGTGGTTTTAAGCAGATGAGATACAGTAAGTAATAATTCTGAGGCCAGATCCAAAGGAGCAAGGAAGTTCCTGTACTCTTTTTAAGCTTGAGGTTCAGAAACATTCTCAAGACAAACGGGTCTTTGAGTGACAAAGCATCACCAAGAAACCTTCTGCAGGCTTCTGTGTCCCAGAGAGGTTGGCTGCAGGTTATGTACATAACATTGCACATCCCTATGTATTTTTTTTGAATGTGAGATGTTCTCCCCCCCCCCCTTTTTTTTTAATTGGCAGGGAAGTCTAGTTGGCCTAGTGGATTATCCTGACGATGAAGATGATGATGAAGAGGAGGAGACATCTCCACGGAAAAGACCTCGTCTGGGTTCATAAATGAAACCAAAACTTTGGAATAAAAACTTTTATTATGGGGTTTCAAATGCTGCAACTGTTTTAAGAGCTAAAAAGAATCTGATTCAGAAAGCTTTCTCCCATGAGTATATAAGATAAATACAAGGAGTAGCAAAAGAAACTCAGTGTATCAGCTAGAAAGGGTTAGTTCTGTAAACACAAAGCTTCCAAGGAACTTAATGTCTTTCTAGTAAATAAGGAGTCTGCCATTCAGGCTGTCAAAAAAAAAAAAAAAAAGGGGGTTAGTATTCACAGAACCTGGATGATGGCTTCTCAGCAAGGAAAGTCTCAGGTGTCGGGAGGGCAGGGGGAGGGAAAGGTATGGAAAACACTTTTTTAAAAATATTGCAGGGTTTCCCCAGTGTTTAACAGAACTAGTTAAAACAAAAAAGAATTCAAGCTTGAATTTTGAACCCAGTAATCTTAATTTTGTAATGGTGCTGTCAGTTGTGTTCTTTTAGCAATGCCTCTTTTAAAAAAATTTTATGGGAAAACTAATTCTGTTTGCATAAGAACAATCTGGATTTTGGGACCATTTATTACCAATTAAATCGCATTTCTCATGGCTGGAGGGAGGGACACTGCAGTTATAGTGCATGTTGAGTTGTTTAAAACAGTTAAAAGTAAGTTTTAATTTGTATTTTTCAAGAGGAGAAAATGGAAGCTGGCTTCAAAATGGATGGTTTTGCTTGGTTTTTTGATGAGACATCCAATAATATCTATGCCAAGGAATGATCGCTTCCACACTATCTCCAGGAGCTGCTTGTGTCAAAGCGGTGCGGTAACACGGCACACCCGGGTAGCCGTCGGCTTCACGTTGTGGAAGATACCAAATTCGAATCGCTTTCTGTGTCGTTAGATGAGCTGTCTCAGAGCAGCGAGCCATTTTCCTGGTTGCGAGTTTAAATTGTGTAATTGAGGTGGTAATAAGAAACACTAACGGGTTTTTCATAGCGATGAATTTAGCGGTGTTTTAACACCAGAGTCACTTTGGACCAAGAGAGAATTATTACTAACAGAACACTGGTCTTTGAGGCAGAATCAACAAGCAGCACCTCAATCTGGGTGTAATACAAAAGCTGCTTTTTAGAAAGATAAAAGCACATTCCACGTAGTAGGTAAGCGAACTGCAATAAAAATAGGTGAGCTGACAGCGAGTTGATAGAGGCAAACAGTCCAGGTTTTATTTTCAAGAGCAGCAAGTGAACTGTAAATATTTTAATGTTAGTTTGCCCATATGTGATCTGAGATCATGACGAAGTGAGAGGAAATTTCCCAACGACCATTAATGTGTCAGACATGTTGAAATATGAAACCAGCTGCAATCCACCACATAGATCGCTCTTGTAATATGTGTTATGGGTCCATTTCTCCTGGAATAGTTTAAACTGAAGCAGTTTCTCTGTTTTGGAGATTTTTGTAGTTAATTTTAATTTTAATTTTAGCTATTGTTTGGAAAAAGATGGGCTGTCTGTGTAGATATGAAGTATAGTTTTTTCCATAAAACAGAAGTTTATTTTGTATTAAAGATACCACTGTACTTGTTTTACACCATTTGTATACATGTGGTGATATTAATGCTGAACTGTAAAATTCAGGAATTAAAATGTGACCCTGTAATTCCATAATTATTGCTTTTGTTTGGTTTGTTGTACATGGTAAGTTAAACTCAGATTTTTAAATGTGGCCATTTTAGAATATTTTTTAAGGTTAGTTATCCATGCAGTTTTAAAAGTAACTCTATACCACTAGACAAAATCCCAAAGGGAACGTGTGAGTTCTTACCGACGCGTAAGCTAGACACAGGCGTTCTGATGGACGACAGTTCGTGGCCGTGGACCTGGGGACAATGGTGTTGCCCTCTGGGCTCCAGGCATCCAGAATGGGACTCCTTATTTTTCACCTGTGTGCTGAAATGCCCCATCAGCTCCGAAGGCAGAGGATCCGAGGAAGTGTTCACTGGTGAAGCGTAGCTGCGGCATCAATCGCGTGCTCGCTCTTGCTGAGTCCTTTTCCCTCCATCGCTAATGGTGATTAACCTCCTGAAGCACCACACACGCTACTCGAACGGCAGAGTTACACAGTACATGCCTTTACTAACCTGAGGCTGAAAAATTTCGTCGCCTGGTCTGTGGACCCGAATTGTCCCGATTCTCTTAACAGCTACCCAAAACAAGTTCTCTGCGGGTCTCCAACTGAAGCGTGTTAGTCCTTACTCTGTTCCCCACCACCTCTTCCCTCAAGTACTGGCAGGAGCTTTAAAAATACATCCAGACCAACGTGAGGGGTTTTTTTTACAGAAAAAACAAGAATGTCATGAATTTTTTATAGTTACTAGAAAAAGACTCTGTAAAGTGGCATTAGATGTCCCATTTAAAAAACAACCAACCAACCTTAAAATCCCTGTAGAAGGTGACATGCAGCACTCTCTAACGGGCTCTTGTCTGGGGCCATTGCCCCCACAGATGCTGTTTCCCCGTCCGAGCTGTTCGGTGCTGCCTGGGTTCTGCCGGGGCAGGTGTGTTCCCATGCTTGGGGCCCTTCCACTACCACTCTTTTTGGAAAAGAGCAGAACATCTGCCAACATGTATCAGTTACAAATGCTATTTTAATAAAAAGTTACATGAAACTTGAATTGCTTGGGTGGTTTCTTTGAATGCGAGTGACTGTTGTAATCAGCTCTGTAATGACATTGTGCAAACGATGACCCCTCTTCCCTGCTTCATTTTAAGTCTCTCAAAGCCAAACCAGTGAACAAGATTTTAAAAGATTTCAGCTTTGAAACCAAATTGCTCATGACAGCCCTAGCTTTTGCTTTGCAACTAAAGCAATTCTCTTCAAGTAAAGTTGCATTTATAGCAAAAATGGACCCGAGGACTGGTAAACTACCTCAAAAGTACATAAACCAGCATAATCCAGAATTAATCTGTAAAAGTCTCAACTTCAAGCTGCGTTACCTTGTTTCTCAAGAATAAGATGGTCATAGTTGCACTTCCTTGTGAAATTAGGACTTTTATTACATTGCACAGCTGAAAACCAATAATTGATTATAATATTCTAATAAAAGGAACAGAGTGCTGTAATTTTAAAAATAAAAAGAAGATTTCTAACTCATTCAGAACTGTTCACATAGGAATTAATTTAACAGATCTCAGGCTCGCTTTTTGTTGTATATAATACTAAGCAGCTGAGGCCAGTAGTTCAGAAAATCTGTATGCTGCAGGAATGTTAAATGGCCTCAGTGAACATGTTTCCAGTCAAAGTCCATTTCCAGCATTCTGGAAAGTAAGTGCTTTTAGTGTGTTTGGGTGTAATTTTAAATATTTATGAAATACTGAGTTGCTTGTCTGAAAGTTCTATAAAACTAAGTGTAATATTGGAAAACAAATCCTTTCAATTATTGATTACATAATTTACTCTAAAAACATACTTTGTGTTCTTGGGTTCTGCAATGAGCTTCTTAAAATTACCGCTTATTAATAACTTCTTCTTTTAGTTTTTCTGCAAGCATTTTCCTCTTCTGTAGTAATCTTTGTTTCTCTTCTGACATTTCCTAAAAACAAAATGAAAAAGAAACCACTGCAATCAACTGCAGCCTTTCCCGGTAGGTGCCCGGACTTGTGACGCTCGCTGCCCACCAGAGCCGGAGCCACAGCAGGTAGCTGGCAGACGGTTTCTCTAACGGGGAGCAGCCAAGTAACATCCCTTGCAAACCTGAGGCTGCAGCAGCAGTCCTTCAGCTCGCTCGCTATCCAGAGTGATTTAAAAAAAACCCAAAAAAACACACAAACCCAGTATTATTAGTTTTCTTGAGAAGTGGATCCCAGGATGTGGGTGACTGGCTCTTTACATCAATCTGCCTTTTTTCCACTGCACTATGCCCATCTTTTGCAGAGGGCTAACCTCAACTTGAGCTGGTGGTGCTGCTTAGGCATTCTGGAAGCTCCCCAGTCAACAGTATTTTGGGCACGTTCTGAGCTTAATAAAATGCTCAGCAACTCTGAAAAATACCTGAGACAAAAGGTCTTTGGTCTAAAGTAGATGCCCTGTGAAGAGTAGTGTTTTGTTTTAAACATAACTATTTCCTCATTTGAGAGTTTTTCAAGCATTTCTTTTCCTGTAAATGTAGATCAGACCTGGTTGTCACAAATGCATTGTCATGTTAACCATAACAGTGATTAACAAAAAAAGTTTGGGGTTTTTTTTTTTTTCCTGATAAAGACCTCTATAGCATAGGCATGTATTCAGCCATAGGTGGGTTTTTTTTTGGTATATCTATATTTTCTTTCCGTGACAGGGTTTACTTTTTTCCCCAAAACTAGATCTTCTATCATCCGCACAGTGCAAGGACTTTTGTGATTTTTGGCACTTGGTTGTATGTCAAGGACCATATCGGTTAATTCACCGAGAAGTAATGTCACACGTCTCTGAACACAGAACAGCCTTCGGACAAAAAAAGAGACCTTGAAGAATGGGCAAACTGCCAGTTGTACCCCTTCCAATAATGCACCACTCGTGTTCTCTCCTGTGCTTCCAACCCTCCCACGGGCTTTTTTTTTTTTCCTCCCTACTGGAGGCAACTGGACAGACAACAGCAGCATCCACCCCTCAGAGTGCCCTGTCTCTCTAAACTCTTATCACCATCATGTCGCTTCTGTTCCGGTGGCTGATGGACAGAAATCAAGGATTTCTTCCTTTGAAATAGGCACAAAACTCTCAAAAGAGAACAAGAGAACAGAGCAAATTTGTTAACTCCGTAAAATAAGACTTTGCAAAAGGAATATGTTTTTCCCATTTCAGCCAGGAAAAAAAAAATCCCAGAGATTTAAGGGAGCCCAAACAGCAGGTCACAGATTAGGAGAAAACCATCATTTTAGCCATTAATAAACTTAAACATGAGGATTTAATGATACTAAAGCAAATAAAGCTAACTTAATCACTAAAACTTCTAGCCTATAAGCTTCTGCAAAAAGAGTAACTTGAAATTGCTTCCTCTCTACTTCCACCACTTGTCTGCTTTTATCCTACAATATTCAGCAGCAACATTACATCTTCACTGAAACCATCGGTGTTTTTTATAAAGTGGTCAGGATGATTAAAATGTTTGAATCCTTCACCTCTTTAGGCAGCGATTCCTCTTCTTTCTGGTCAGTGTTCGGTGGTAACGGTACGTTAGTTCTTGGCTCCTTCTTTGTCGCCATCAGCATATCTCGTTTTTTCTTTAGGTAGTCCTCTCG